AATGAAATCATTTTTCTCTTGACACTCAAAACCATTTAATATGACTTATAAATCATATTATTTGTAGTTGTCTTACCGGTAAGAGAAGCATACAAACTTTGAAACTCCTCACGCAACTTGGATGTATCATAATCACGTTCTGCATATATAAGCTTATTTCCTAGTTGTTCCGTGATATATCCATTTGGATATGGTATTGAGGGAAAGTCTTTTAGACTTTTTCTCTTTTTTTTGCATCAATTTCTCAAGCTCCACAAGAGTTAAATTTTGCAACTCTTGATCACTAAGTTGTAAATCTATAAATGTAATAAACACAATTATATCAGTAATTGTAAGAAGATGTTCATGTGTATGTGTCCACTGCCATTATGTCTTTATCGTAAATAATTTATTTTGTCACATCAATGAAAATGAATGACCAATGAGATACGCATGAAATTAAAATTATGAAATAGTTTTATTTGAATATGTTAATTTATGAAATAAAAAATTTTAATATATTGATTTAAAAATATATTTTATTTTTATATGTTAATTGATATGTCAACTAATTTTAATATTGAATGTAAGAAAAGTTGTTTGGGGTAATCAGGAAATACTGTTTGTTTATGGTAATAAGAAGTAATTAATTTCATCTTTTACTACAATGCAAATGAATGACAAATGAGATGTGCACAAAATTAAAATTATGCTATAGTTTTATTTGATTATGTTGATTTATGAAATAAAAAATATCAATGTATTAATTTAAAAATATATTTTATTTTTATATGTTACTAGATACGTGATGTAATTTTAATACTTAAGGTAAGAAAAGTTGTTTGGGGTAAATAGAAAATAATGTTTATTTATAGTATTAGTAAATATTTAATTTCATCATTTAGTAATATTTTTAATTATATAATTAGTGAAAATCTAAAAAGGGTAAGAAAGATCTGGTAAACTAATCATATGTACTCTATGTGAATTCTAATATAAGGTGAATTGAATTTAGGGTAATACTTTTTATGACAAATCTTATAATTTTGTTGGTAGAGTAAACGCCATGAATAACTTGTCATGATACAAATGATAGGTGTAAATCTAATTTTTAATTGATTTGTATACCTGGGATGTTTGAGAGCCTTCGCTGTTGATACAAAATTCCATCTGCCAAGTTTGTTCCCATACATGCTCGGGTCTGCTCACAGGACATGATAAGAGCAGAGTTACAAATAATTTTCTCAAGTAGTGTCCTGATGCCCAGTTTTTAACTTCTTTTAATGCTCCAATGTATTCTTTATCATCACCAAGCAATCCCGCCGCAAAACACGCTTCTCTAAAGCTCGGATATTGAATGTTGGCAACGGTCCTAATATCCTCATAACAACGTGGCCCTTTTGTTACAATGAGCATCATTCTTAAATAGAATGGTTTTTCTTTTGCGACGTGCTTCTGATGCATCCATTTTTTCTTATTGCACTGAGATGGACACATATAAAAGATTAAGAAGACTAAATTTCAATAATTTTCAACAAAAGAAGTGTCTGCAGTAATGTAAATAATATTGAAGTTTAAATTTAATTTCAAGAACGGAGTGTAGTATTTGATGGCAAAAGTAGGAAAATTGTATTAAATATTTTTTCCATTTTTATTAATGCTTTACTTTTATTTTGAAAAGTATTTTTGTGAATTGGACATCACGGTTATAAGTGAATCTCATATTGGACACTAAGGTTGCTTATGGATCAAATTGGACAATATGGTTAAATGGACATTAAGGTTCAAATGAATGAAATTGAACGGTTTTATGATCTTTTTTAGACACCCACTAAAGATTTTTCACATTTGAAAGCTATTTGTATTCCCTTTTTCCTTTGAATGAAAAAATTGTAAATATATACTTCTTCCGTCTCTTTTTAGTTGCAATAGTCAACATTTCAAGACGAATTTAACCATATTTGTAAAACATAATAATTCACATACATCAATAAATAAAATGTAGCCAAAGTAAAGTATATGAATAGTGTATATATTCCAATGTTGCAATTAATGTGATACGAAAGATAGCATTTAACTTGTTATATATAAGAAGTTATTAATTAAAATAAAATTATATATTCTAAAACCTCAAATGAAATCTTCCAAATTTATATAGATCGATTAAGTTAGTTTATTGACTCAAACAAAGAAAGCAAAAATAAAACTAACGAATTTTATTAAAGGAAGAAGAAGATCGTAAGTGAATGTCCAAATACTGCGAATTATAAAACTTTGATGGCCAATATGAGATTTACAATTAAGGTTATTTTTATTTAGAGCAGTTTCAGTCCCAGACCAGATCAGATTAAATCAGACCACACCAAACCAGATCACACTTGTTTATTTATAAAATACACGTAGATTAGACATTTACCGGACCATACTGTGCCAACTGCTCATATCCCTAATTCATCAATTTAAAGTGAATGTCCAAATACTGTGAATTACTATGTATAAAACATTGATGGCCAATATGAGATTTACAATTAAGGTTATTTTTATTTGGACCAGTTTCAGTCCCAGACCAGATCAGATTAAACCAGACCACACCAGACCAGATCACACTTGTCTATTTATAAAATACACGTAGATTAGACATTTATCGGACCATATTGTGCCAACTGCTCATATCCCTAATTCATCAATTTAAATTATTACATGTTTGCAAAATAAAAAAGAAGTACATACTTGCTCCCTTCAATAAAGAGAAATCCCATGTGTAGAAAAGTGTGAAGACATATGACGGCTGGCGGCTGCTATGTGAATAGTACAAGGCAATTCAATGTCATATGTATGAGGCAAGGTGTGTAGTGCATAGTATAGTGCACTTCAAGTATATGACGGCTGCTAGGTTTCATGAGGCTAATACTTCGAGTATAGGCAAAGTCTAATTGACGTTCAATTAAGTTCCATATGTTTCCTATTATGGCTCCAACTCCATTTAATGGGTTAGCCGATTTTTATTTACTACTTTTCATATTCCAGCATCTTCACTTTTCATTTGATTGTTTATTTTTTTAAGAATTACACGTGCAATTGTTACGTTTTTTAAATTGTATGTTCAATTTTTTAATTTGATTCTTTATGTTTTTAAAATTATGTTCGATATGTTGTTTACAACACCGACACGTTTATAAAATTGTTAAGTTTGTATTTTTAGAGCCCATTTGGTAATACTAAAATTGGCTGAATTGGATGATTCTACTGAAATTTATGAAGTTCTGGGTGAAGTGGCTGTTTTGGTTGATTCTGTTAATTTATAAACTAGTTATATTTAAAATATTTGTTATTATAAATAAAATAAAATAAAAGATTATATGAAAAAGTAGCTAAAATGATACTCTAGAGTAACTTCAGCCAATACAACCAGAAAAGCAACTCATAATAAGCCAAAAAAGAGGAAAGCTCTTAATTTAATTATGTGTTTGGTGAAAAAGCTGGTTGATAAGCCAGATAAGCCAAAAAAAGAGGCTACCAAACAGGTTCTTAATTTAACTTCGTCCTTCAAAACTTTGTCGCGTTTAACCGGCATGAAGAGTAATATCGTAAAAACCTTTGTTTAAGATTTGTGTAAAGGAAAGAAAATTGATAGAAACCACAAATTGATTGATTAAAGGGGAAATAATTTAAATGTACTCCGTATGAAACTTTGAAGGGGTATGTTTTTTTTTTAAAGTGAAGGGGTGTGTGTTAAGTATCACAAATTGATTGATCATAAAGTTTTCAGAAATGTAATTTTGTGGTATTAAGTACATACTTAAATTACACCAATTATTTATGAGGATGCAATTAAAATGAAATTATACTTGAGGTAATTTTATTTATTTCACGAATGAAATTTTAAAATGTTGAATGCATTCTAACAAAACTTAGAATTGTATATATTATGTAATTTTTTCAATAAAATTGTATTTTTAAAAAACATACAATCATAGTTCAAATTAAATACGTATTAAAAGATATCGTTAGTCAAAGTTGATGGTAACTGACCATGAAAAGTCAATTTGGCAAACTTTTTTCGGCACAGAGGGAGTACATAGCATTACACTTAAACAAATCGGCTTGAGAAAATTAGTGTTATTGTACAGTTTTATTCATATACAATTAAGCGCACTAAGTCTAAATTTTTGTGTTGGATTTTTTGTATTTCTACGACAATCGTCTGAATGTATTTACAGTTATTTTGACTCATCACTTATGGTTTTAATAATTCACCCAATCGAGGAGAACTCTTACTCACTACCTCTAAATACCTGGATATTTAACAATATAACGGTTCAAAAACATAATATATGTCATCCTTGGACCATTTTTAGATCATAAACGTGATGTAGACCGAAGATGTAATTAAATCACATTGGAAAATAATTACTGCTAGTTTGTGGATCCATATTTTTAATTCATAAAGATCTTTCTCCAATTGGATGGAATTTTTAACATCAGAATTTATACCATCTATTTTCAATTAAACGTAGTATTAAACGATTTCTCCAGCTGCCCATTTTACTCTCTTTTGTAGTGCATATAAAAAATCAAGGTATAAGTAAAAGTATAAAAAATCAATTTAAAAAATAGTGTTACTTCATAATTTATTGTCAACCAACTATAAAAGAAAGACTAAATTTAAGAAGAAAGCAGTAGGTAATCTCATAATGTTCCCATGCCCATCCATTGAACTTAATTTTTACTCCTTTTTTAAACGCTTTTCAATCTTTGTTGCTGAAAACTGTGTAGATTTTGGGCATTTAAAAAAAATGAAGCGGAAGGGCAGATTTTGAATAAATATATATTTAGGAAATCCTCTTAAAAGTAAAATTTCAAGAAAATAACTACATTTTAAATAGAATAGAATGCTATATTATTAGTGTATTATTATGTTTAAAATAATTGAGATTTATTTAAACCTCTGTAAGGCAATTGATATCAGAAATACTCATAACACTGGCTCTATAGGTTAGCTTCTCTTGCTCAGTAAATTTTGAATTTGAAAGTTGACTTTGACTCTGACTGGGTCTTTCTTTTGCTTGAACTAAGCAATAGCTGCCATTATTCCAAACATGGATTAAATATTTAACAATGAAAATAGAAAAAAATGAAGTACGTGTACTACATAATCATAAGTGTGATAACACCAATAAGCACAATGAACGTGTCTTTGAATTTCTGAATATCCACAATGTCCTCATTAATGAGCAATTTAGATCCGAACTTACTGTTTTGAATGAACATGGGATTTATTCCTAACATTTCAACAAAGTAAATAAATCACAACATCATCAATATAATATAATACAATGTAATGTAATGTAACAATTCGACCTTACCTTCAGGTTCTTTAATTTTTGCTTGTGTTAATATGATAACAATTAGCTCAGATTTATGATTCTCATGAAACTCCAAGAACTTTGAAGCATAGTCTTGCCATAAAGTACACATGATCATTTCACCACTACATTATAGCATAATACATTTAATTAATTAATAAAGAAATCTTTTCAAGTTGTAAAGATACTTAATTAATGCAGTATGAAAAACAACGACAGTGAATGACATCACCTGAGATCTTTCATCCAAAATGCTACCTTTTTCAAAGGAGTACTAATGTCAGAACGCACAATATCATGGAAAGCTGCAATTACATCTATTTGTTAAAAAATGCAAGTGTTAAGGTTAGATAGTAATGTTTACTTTTTTATTATGTGGTAAAAAAGGAGGCTTGTAATTTGACATAAACACTTACCAACTAAAACATTAGTACGGAGATTACCACTTAATATCTCACTGAATTTTTTAAAGCTATAGTAATCTTTGGGTATATCAGGCAGTTCTTGATGTTTTAGTGTTGTACAACTTGTAAATTGGAGCTTGAATGGATGATCACATGCCTTGAACTGTCCTTCATTGCACAGTACTTTGAAGTTTTGCATCACATAAGTTTCATTTTCTTTGAGCTTTGACTTCCAGGTTAGCACCTCTGCATTTCTTGCAACCGCCTGTATCTTATATCCCTAATTTATGAGAATTGTTGATAAGTTATTAATCACTTTAATTGTTGGAGCATTTAATTTCATTTAAGCATTAAAAAATAAGATAATCAGATCTTTGCGTCCATTAACACCATTTCAATGAACTTCGAAGGAGTCTGGACAGAACAAAGTGATATAACCCTCACTGCAATCTTCCATGTCTCTTTGGTGTCATTGATCTCTTCAATGGTGCTTATTTTACGTGCCATATTGATGGGACTAATGCACATTTAAACACAAAGAGTCATATTAGGCTAAACATATTGACTATAAGTAGTCCTCTATTTAGAAATATAATAGCATTTAAAAAAATCTATTGACAACATTAACACTATAGATACTCAGAAACAGCTCAATATGCACAATTACAGAAATTTAGGATCAATTCAAAATGTGTTTCAAAAAATGAGAATGAGTGCCATGAATGTAGATAACATTCTAAGAATAAATGTGTGGAAATATTTTTTATACATTAAATAGCTTGTATCCATTTAAAATATTCTGATGTTGATACATTAAATTTTTGGTCCATGGCATTGTTTATCTGAAGCTAATTTGCAGGTTAATTAGCAGGTTAATTTCAGCTTGTTGTTTATTTTATTTATTCAGCCATAGATGAATCGGAAGTGAGACTACAAACAAAAGTAAAAGTAAAAACTCACTTAAGCATTTCATCAAAAACCTTACATGTAGAAAAGTAAAAGTAAAAACTTTATTTAATTAATGCTATTAACAAAAAAAAACACGGTTAAAAAAATACAGAACACAAACAGAACAAAATAGTACAGTTCAAAGCCTGACCTGTTATAGAAGTAGCCTGAAACATTGATTTGTTAAAAAGGTAACAGAACTGAAAATATAGTAAGAGAACATATATACACAACTGGACATGTTCCTACTGCTATTCCTAGCATACCATTTGTTGAGCATAACATGAAGATTAATATAGTTATTTGCTTTACATCAATACTTCTTTGTCTTATTGGTTTAAGATTCTGGAGCATAAAAGGCAGTACTGAGAGAAAAAGAAAAAGAATAGGGCATGTAATGCCTCATAAAAGGCAGTTTCATGGCAGCCACATTAGCACTATGAAAACTCATGAATCAAGCAAGAGTAATTAATTTCTCAAACTTCTATTTGCTGCCTAAGAGAACAATAGGCTAAAAAAGAAAAAGAATAGAACATATAATGCCTAATAAAGTTTCATGGCAGCCACATTAGTACTATGAAAACTAATGAATGAAGCAAGAGTAATTCATTTCTCAAACTTGTATTTACCGCCTAATGAAGGACAATAGGCTTCATAAGAAAAAGAACATGACATGTAACGCTTCTTAAAGGCAGATTCATGGAAGTGATATGACCTCTATGTTATAAACCAATGAAAACAGGGGGAGATAGATACATATCTTACTCAGACTCTCACAGGTTACAACTAATAATAATAACAATACTAAACCTGAGAGTGTAAAAGTAAAAACTCATTCAAGCATTTCATCAAACACCTTATATGTAGAAAAGTAAAAGTCTAAACTTTGTTTAATGCTATTAACAAAAAAAGTACTGATCCCAAACAAAAATACAGAACAAAATTTCGTTTCAGAACAAAAGTACCGATCCCAAACAAAATTACAGAACAAAAATTCGTTACAGAACAAAATTACCGATCCCAAACAAAACTTTTACACTCTCAGTTGCCGAAGTCTCTAGCAACAACTGTTTTGAAAAAATTCGTTACCTCTGCTACAGAAAGGAAGAATGAAAACTACACCGAGACAAAAAAAGGGTTTTAGAAAGAGATAAGCATTGCTGAATTATATAGAAAACGAAGAATTACCAAAAACCTGTGTACTCGTGCAGGGAGTATGAACCCTAATGTCGATCTTCATTTGTATATATAGCGAAGATATTATTTGGAGCCTCCAAGATTCAGTGAAGAGTTGTGTGCGGTAATTTGGCTATTGAAGAATCCTATATTTGGTGAAATTCTGAGATTAACGATCTGCGCGCTTGGGGGAGATGTGAGGAAACTTTGGCGAAAAAAGGGGACGGGGAGAAGATAGAAACGGGAAAAAAGGAGAAAAAATTGAGAGCCACATGGCTGCAGTATAGAAAAGGAGAAAAATATGGTATGAGCTCCACCTAGGCTTAACGAAGGACAAAATAGTAATTGGAAGAGCTATCTCTTTTCTTATATATAAATAGATAGATTAATTCAAATATCTAATCTCTGCGGTTTTAGTTGAACCGCCGCAAATGCTCCACAAAATTGCATATGTTTGCTACGGTTGATAGTTGACCGCAGCAATAAAGCCCCTTTTTTCCGATATCTACCGCGGTTAGGTTGCATACACAGCGAAAGAACATCTTTCTCTCTTCTCCGATCCATACTTTGGACGCCCAGAGTGATGGTTCCTGTGACGCGCCTCGCAGTCGCCTCAGCTTACGAACCCCTCCGCTCACAACAACATCAGCTGACCGCGCCGCAACCTCGCAGCAGCATCAGCCGACCAACACCGCCTCCTCACAACTGCATCAGCCAACCGACCCCGCCTTCTCGCACCGCCCCAGTCTCGCATTCCATCCGCCTCGCTTCTCAGATTCACGCAGCCACGGCCACGCCACCTCATGCCTCCAGCTCGCACCATCTCAGCCTCGCCTCGCGCTTCCAACTCGCACTGCATCGCCCTCGCAACCCTGCCTTGTTGCTTCTTCACCTAGCAAAGACAATTCACGCCTCCACGTTTAATTCTTCTCATCCTCTCAGGTAAATTATTTATGTTTCAATGTATATTTAAAATTGGTAATGTGTATTTAGGGTTTTGAAAAAAATTGATTGTTGTAAAAGAGAGCTTGTTTTGATTGATTTTACTTGAAATTTAAATTAAAATTTGTCAAAAGGGCCTGTTTGTTAAGGGTTATCTTGCTGAAACTGTTGAATCTCCTGAAACTTGTGAAGGCAAAATTGTTTAGCAAATTTTATCTCAGCCAAAAAAGTCTAGCCCAACATATTCTGCTTGAAAAATACGGAGTATGAAGGCAAGTTAAAATACTAAAAAAAATTCATCATTCTTTCTTTTGAATGCTCCCTCTGTAGTCTAAAACTGGGATAAAGAAGGAAATATAAACTGAAAGCTTAAGCATAAACGAGCTAATAATCTGCTGTATCTAATCATATATTTCATTGAAGTAACAAGGCTATATATAGCCATAATAATGTTAAACAAAGTGATCCACTAATGACTCAACTAACTCCTAGTATTTAGGCCTGATCACACGTTCAAAAGCAATAAACTAAAGTGCTGAACTGACTCCACAAAAGTAGCTAAACATGAAGACTAAATCTTATTTTAAATAAAATGAAAAGATCATTTCTTTACCTCAAAGCCACGTATGTATGTTGCGTGTATCACTCATGCACACGAAGCTTGGTCAGCTTTCAACACCTCCCCTTGATCCAAGCTTGCACATGCCTATTTTCTCCATGAAGTATTGATGCTTGGCTTGGTTCAAGGCTTTAGTGAACAAATCTGCATTCTGAAAATTAGTTCCACAGAACTTCATAATGATTTTCCTTTCTGCAACTAGCTGCCTTATAAAATGATGTTGTACTTCAATATGTTTTGTCCTTGCATGGTATACTGGATTCTTGGTCATAGCTATGGCTGATTTGTTATCACACCATAACTCTATAGCCTCATTCTGATCATGCCCCAAGTCTTTTAGCAGTTTCTTTAGCCAAATAGCCTGCCTAGCTGCAGCACCTGCTGCAACATACTCTGCCTCTGAAGAGGACAAAGCAACTGTTTCTTGTTTCTTGGAGCTCCAGGTGATTGCTCCTGATCCAAGGTTGAACACAGACCCTGATGTGCTCTTTCTATCATCCAAACAACCTGCCCAATCACTGTCAGTATGCCCAACCAGCCTGCCAGCCTTCACACTTTCATAGAGTAGCCCATACTCCATTGAACCTGCTACATACTTAAGTACTCTTTTTGCTGCACCTAAGTGTTGTTTGGTTGGAGAGTGCATGTACCTTGATATCACACTCACACTATAGGCTAGATCAGGTCTAGTGTGAGTGAGATAGTTCAAACCTCCTAGACTTCTGAAAGTTCTTTCATCAGCATTACCAGTTCCATCCTCCCATTGCAATTTCTCACATATGTTCATAGGAGTTTTCACAGTTTCACTTTCCTCCATTTGGAACTTCTTGAGCAGATCACTTGCATACTTTCTTTGACACAGAAAGGTACCATCATCTCCTTGGTATACTTCCAGGCCAAGAAAGTACTTAAGTAAACCAAGATCAGTCATTTCAAATTGCTTCATCATAGCATTCTTAAACTCTGCCAACATCTTACAAGAGGAACTGAAATATATAATGTCATCTACATAAAGGCAAACTACTATGAAATCATTTGTACCTTGCTTCTTTATGTAGAGTGTTGGTTCATTCTCACTTCTCTCAAACGTGTTTTCAAGAAAGAAGGAGTCAATTTTACCATATCAAGCACGTGGAGCTTGCTTTAAACCATATAAGGCCTTCTTCAGCCTATATACCTTCTCCCTTGCATCCTTTTTAACAAACCCAAGTGGTTGCTCAACAAACACTTCCTCCTGCAGATCTCCATTAAGGAAGGCAGACTTCACATCTAACTGGAACACTTTGAGTTTCATTTGAGCAGCTAAAGCAAGAACCACTCTCACAATTTCCATTCTTGCTACAGGAGAGAAGGTTTCTTCAAAATCAATCCCCTCCTCCTGTGCATAGCCTTTTGCTACAAGCCTGGCCTTGTGCTTTTGAATACTTCCATCAGTGTTAAACTTGGTCCTAAACACCCATTTTAGACCAATAACATTCTTCCCTTCAGGAAGATCCACCAACTCCCAGGTTTCATTCTTCTCTATTGATCTGATTTCATCTTTCATGGATGATTGCCATTCCAAGATTTCCTTTGCTTCATCAAAGTTAGTTGGATCTGCAGCCAGTAGAGCAAAGTCACAATTTTCATATATATCAGCTAGAGACCTGTACCTTCTAGGAGTTGAATCTCTTGATGAACTTGATGAACTGGAATTCTGATTGTGTGAAGAGGGTGTTGAGGGAGGACTTCCATTATTAACATTTTCTGGTTCAGTAGGTTCATTCTCAGTACCATCAAACTGTACTGAGTTTTGCAAATCTTTACTAGATTCTCTTGCTTCCCAATTCCACCCTGATTCTTCATCAAAAACAACACTTCTACTAACAATGATCTTGCCAGTTTGAGGGTTATACAGTCTATATGCTTTAGATTGAGAGGAATAGCCAATGAAAACACACTTGACAGTTTTATCATCTAGCTTAGACCTTAAATCAACTAAAGCATAAGCTGTACATCCAAATACCTTTAAATGACTTACTGAGGGTTTCTTTCCTCTCCAAGCTTCAAAAGGTGTGCTATTCAGGACTGCTTTTGTTGGTGATATGTTCAGAATGTACACAGCTGTTGCTACAGCTTCACTCCAAAAGCAGTTTGGAACTCCTCTAGCCTTAAGCATGCTCCTTGCCATCTCAACCACAGTCCTGTTCTTCCTCTCAGCTACTCCATTTTGCTCAGGAGTATAGGGTGTAGTAAGTTCCCTCCTGATTCCTTCTTCTTCACAGAATTTGATGAATTCATTTGAAAGAAACTCACCACCTTTGTCTGTTCTCAAAGCTTTCACACATAAACCCGATTGTTTTTCTACCATAGCTTTAAAGATTTTGAAGCTATCAAAAGCTTCTGATTTAGCTCTGAGAAAATACACCCAACTCATTCTACTGAAATCATCAGTAATGAGTAAGAAATACTTACTTCCTCCCAAAGATGTTGTCTGCATTGGTCCACAAAGATCTGCATGAAGTAGCTCAAGACACTGACTTGCTCTCCATGCTTTCCCAACTGGAAATGATCCTCTTGACTGCTTTCCATAGAGGCAACCCTCACACAATTCAAGTTCACCTATTTTAGGTAGTCCTCTTACTAATTCTTTGGATTGCAGTAGCCTCAGCCCTTGCAAATGTAGGTGACCATACCTCAAATGCCATAACTTTGCATCATCATCCCCCTTAACTATCAGAACTTTGCTTGATCTGCCTGATAGATTAAGAGGAAACATCTTGTTCCTCCCCATTTCAATGCTTATCACAGTCTCCTTGGATTTCTTGTCAATGATTTGACAAGTTTGTTGGAGATATTTAATTGTGAATCAAGTTGGTCATAGATTAGCTTTATATTTAATCCTTGTATTTAAATAGTGCATAAATTAGATAGAAATCAGGCCAAGTGTTAGGCCCATTTAAACAGGCCAAAAGCCTGGTACGCCTAACCTAAACCTCTCCTATAAAAAGGGAGCCGAGGTTTAGGAAAAGGCTGAACGTCGTACTTATTATTCATAGCCTTACGCTTATCATTCTGCTGTACGTTCCACGGTTTATCAAAGAAGGTCTTACGGTGATTCATTCTGTGTTCATATTTACGTTTAATCTTCCTTGTTAGATCGATTATTCATTGCTGTTACAGAAACAGGGACTAACAATTGGTATCAGAGCCGATCGAGAACGATCAGAAGAACTCCTGCAGAATACTCTGTTTTTGTTAACGAAGTTCATTCTGTCGATTTTTTGCTCTGTAATTTTGTTTCTTGTTCAAAAGTTGTAAAAGTTACACCTTTGGAATCGCCTTTTCAAAGCGATCAAACGGTATACTTCAGTTTGTGTTTTACGCAATTTTAGATTTCGAGATATCTCGAGCTAGGCATCTCGACATCCTACTTCTTCACAGGTTCTGCTACGTTTTTCGAGCTGAAAACTTTACCAGAAGATCTCGACATTCAACTCTACAGGAAACTATCTTCAGATTTTGTTTATCTGATTTTTACAGGTTGCAGGATTTCGACATTGAGGATTTCGACATCTAGGATTTCGAAATCTTGATTTCGAGAAAAGGATTCGACATCTGGTCTCGACATTTGACTTATCAGATTAAGATTTCGAGAGATTAACTTCTCGACATTTCAAATCTCGAGATCAGCATCTCGAAATTTGAAATCTCGAGATCCCTAATCTCGAGATCCTTAATGTCGAGCCCAAATCTCGATACCGGGCCCCCTTTATCGAAATCTGAGATTTCGATATTCAGATCTCGACATCTGATTTTTCGAGATTCTGCCTCTGAAAATCTTTTGATCAATTTTCTCGAACGGTCAGTTTAGTACAGCAATGGGTTCATAATACAATGCACAAGGGAACAGCAGTACCCCTCCTAGCCTCAGGAAGGGAGAATATCAAATGTGGAGGAACAAATTTCTAAACTTCCTCGAGCACAAAGAGAACTCTTCTGCAATGCTCGAATCTTTGCTTGAAGGACCAGCTGAACTCTTGATTTCAGTTGGTGGAGATCCAGAGAACAATCCTCCTATTTTTCCAGAAATAAGGAGAAAAGTGCCGTCTGAATACACAGAAGCTGACAAGCTCAGACTTCGTGGTGATCTTATGGCCAAAACGTACCTCCTTCAAGCAATACCAAATGAGGTTTATGTTCTCATAGATAGCATGCAGACAGATAAGGAAATGTGGGATGAAATAGAGAAGCTGCTACAAGGCACAAGCATCAGCCTCAAAACAAAGAAGACTACGATTCTCATCGCTTATGACTCCTTCAAAGCAGGTCCAGGAGAACCATTGAATGAGACTTACAACAGACTTGTTCAACTGGTAAATGAACTCAGAAAGATCAAAGT